GAGAGAGAGAGAGAGAGAGAGAGAGAGAGAGAGAGAGAGAGAGAGAGAGTTCTTTCAAAGTGGCGAGCAGGAGGATTTCAAAGATGGTGACGTGGCGTAGGAGGAGCTGGAAATGGGGAACCTCATCAGGGAGAAGGATGAGTGAAGCTGCCTAACATGGAGGTAAACTGCCCCGCTGACGAGCGGACGGGCCTGGGTATTGCGCAAAGTTGGCCACCCTGTTTGGACGGCAAACCGGGTAAGACAGGGTGCAGGCCCAGACCCCAACGACGCGCTCCAAATTGCAAAATTTGCACATGTGCATGACAGGGGCAAAACGCAAAGAATTAGGCATTCCGCTCTACCCACATCTTTTTACGGCCATTTTGGCATATATCAGAACTTATAGGGAGAAAAAAAAAAAAAAAAAAAGTTCCCTCCCTTGAAAAAAGAAGGAAAAGATCCAGGGGCCTAGCTCAGTTGGTAAGGCACGCAAGTGGCATTCAGGAGGTCTTGGGTTCAATCCCCACTGGCCTCATGTGCCTTCCTGAGCATGCTTGGCGCCCGCCACGTAGAGATAGCCCATTGGTCCCCCCAATTGGCATTAAAAAGCAGTGTCTGCTGATGTTCATAGGGGAAGGGGTAATGGGGGAGGCACAGCGACTGGCCACTCAGATGATGCTCGGTCCCTCTGCTACCGGCTATCCCCTGGCCGGTGTCCCCCATTGGGGTTTCCCTGAAGGCAATAAAGGCCACCGTGGGCTGAAAAGGCCACCCGATGTCAGATTAGACACAATATTGAATTTACCTGGGCTGGTTAGTCCGATGATAATACCTCAAGGCCATCGCCCTTTTGAAAAAAAATAAAAAAAACAAAAAAAAATCCCCCTGCCCTGCGTGGTCTACCGAGCCTACGCGACCTGCCTACGCGGGACATACCCGGGCCGCATAACCCACCTGCCCTAAGCCCTACGCGACCTAGCTACGGGGGACCTACCGGGGCTGCATAACCCACCTGGCCTACTTGACCTAGCGTCGGCGGAGCTACCCGGGCCGCATAGCCCACCTGGCCCACGCGACCCGTCTTCCGTGGCGCTACCGTAGCCCTACCCAGGCGTCTCTCTCTCTCTCTCTCTCTCTCTCTCTGTGGGCTACTTGCGACGTGCTTGGTGCTTCGTTCGTGCTACGTGCTTTCGTGAACTTGGTGCTTCGTATGCCTTGCACGTGCGACGTGCTAGGTCCTTTTTTTTTTTTTTTTTTTTTTTTTTTTGCTAGGTCCTACTTGCGTCGGTGCTGGCAACGTGAATCTGGTCTGGTTCTCCGTGCTGCGTGAGCTGAGCTTGGTGCTACTTGAATTGTCCTACGTAGCGTAGCGGGTTGGAAATGTGTAGAATCAAAAAAAAAGAAAAAAAAAGAAAAAGAAATGTGTAGAAGACTGTTAGAGCAAGGTTTTGCAGGAGAAAATATTCGTGTCCTTTGAGGCGCTGTGTACTTTTGTGGGCCTCTGACGGCGGGGCTAAATCGTGGCCGAGGGCTTGCACATTGTCGGTTGATCGATCGTTATCGGCTGGAGGACCGTCGGCATGCGTAGCTCATGTGAGTCTCCACTTCTCTGATCCTCCTCCCTCTCCCTCCAACCTCCCTCCTTCCGTCCGCCCGATCTCCGCCTAATCTCCGCCTGACTCCCTCCCCCTCGCCGCCCTCCGTCAGCCCTCCCTCCTCCCTCCGCTTTCTTTCTCCTCTCGCCCTCTGCCTGCCCTCCTCCCTACCTCCTCTCTCGGCCCTCGGCCCTCCCTCCTATCTCGCTCCTTCCCTCCTCGCCCATTCCTCCTCCCCCGCCCCCCACTTCTCCGTTCCTCTTTCCTCCCTTGACCCTTCTGCCTCCCTCCGCCCTCCCGTGCGCCTTCCTTCTCCCTGCGCCCTCCCTCCGTCGGTCCTCCATTAGCCCTCTACCCGCTCGTCCCTCCTTTCTCCCTTCTTGGCGCCCAACTTCGAGGGTTTGTTTCGTCTTCCTTTTTTACCCAATAGACGCGTGTGTTGTCTCTCTCTGTGTGTGTGTGTGTGTGTGTGAGAGAGAGAGAGAGAGAGGGTTTGTTTCAGCTTCCTTTTTTGCCCAATAGACGCGTGTGTTGTCTGTGTGTGTGTGTTTGTGTGTGTGTGTGTGTGTGTGTGTGTTTGTGTGTTTGTGTGTGTGTGTGTGTGTGTGTGTGTGTGTGT